TCCCACCTTTTTCTCATTTCACTCCAACCTTTTTCTCATTTCACTCCAACCTTGTGGCTATTAAAAGGATAATTGCATAGGTTAGTGTTTCTGTAGAAAAAATTCAATGTTCAGAGTACATTGATTAAAAAAGGTCTATGATAGTAAATTAGTGAAGAGTGAGAAATTATTGATTGATACCTGGAATAATAACTGATGTTTTTATGTTTCAGAGTTGTAACCAGTAAAGTAAATCTTCTGTAAGACATGGCTGACAAGATAGTATGTGATGTTTGTAAGAAGGAATTCAGTGGGGAAATTCCAGCACAGCAACACTTTGAAAGCAAAGCCCACCAGAAAGCCATGCGAAATAAAGAAATGATTGACAGATATGACTTAAGATTTACTCCTGCTCAATTCAAATGTGACATTTGTAATGTAAATATGAACTCTGATGAAGTAAAACAGAGACATATGTGTAGCCCAAAGCATTTAGAAATGGAGCGAAGGGCAAAGACCATAGCAAGCAGAGATTCTTCCATAGTCAATGGTATATCACCTGAGCAGGGGCATGTATCCAGCCATGGAGGCAAGGGGTACGATTTCAATGGAGTAAGGGGATATTGTTACATTTGCAAGATAGAACTTACTTCCAAAGCGGTGGCTGATCAGCACATTAATGGCGAAAAACATTTGAAGAAAAAAACATCGCAGCAGAGAACGATATTGCAGCAGCCCCCTGTATCAAGATGTGCTGTAATTAGTACATGTAATGCATGTGGAGAGGGATTTTCCAATCAACATGATGTAGAGGTACATTTTTCAAGCCAAAAACATAAGGAAAAACTGGCTTCATTGGACACCGTTTCTTTGAACACAGAAAGACACCCAACTTTAAGCACGGTCTCGGAGACCTCGTACTACCCAACAGAGAATCTTGCTCATATAGCATCAGGCTCATCCTCTGGAGCAGTTGTCAGAAGGGTAGGATACGGGTCTACCAGTTCTACAGCTGTCAATGGAGTGTACGAGTTCAATGGAAGCAGTGGTCATTGCCATATATGCAATGTAGCATTGACATCAGAAGAGAATGCTAAAGCCCATTTGCTGGGAACTCGTCACAGAAAAGCACTGGTTAAGAGTGGAGGAGAAACCAGGAAAGATCCACAAGCTGCAAATTCTTCTGAGTACTACTTCAATGGAGACCGTGGCAAGTGTTTGGTGTGTGACATTGATCTCACATCAGAACGCCACGCTCAGGATCACCTGTCTGGAGCAAAGCATACTAAAGCTGTTCAGAGACAAGCAGAGGCCAAGACAAAGGACCATCACGCTAGTGATGCAGAGGAATATGAAATGAATGGCAACAGAGGATTCTGTCATGTATGTCAGCTGGAATTAACATCAGTAGAACATGCTACTCAACATATTGATGGAAGGCCTCATGCAAAGGCAAAACTTGTGTGGGAAAAAAGAAGGCTAACAGGAAATAGAGCTCAAGGAATTCTGTCACCATCTTCAGTCGCAGGGGAAAGGTCATTGGACATGGAGCCAACATCTCCAGGACTTGGTGTTGTAGGTCATTGGCCTAGTCAAGGTCAAAGGTCTGACCTTTCAGGAAGCTCAGATTCATCAACATTTCTTAGTAATGAGGATGTAACTAAAAGAATACCAAGTGGAAATATAAATCAGAATCAGACAAATCAGGTGCCAAAGTCACCTGGCAGTAACCAAAACACATCTGATGGTTTTAGAGGTAACAAACCTATATCTGAAGATGGTACCCAAGAGTATTGGTTCACCGGGCTTACAGGATACTGTAATCTCTGTTCGATTGAGCTAACATCTCAAGCACATGCCATGCAGCACATCAATGGTAAAAACCATGCCAAGGCTAGACAGAGGAGCCAAACCAAGCCCATCGGCTCTTCGAATGTAAACCTGTATTGTAAAATCTGTAATGTACCATTCTCTGGCCAGGAAAGTGCCCAGCAACATTACAGAAGTGACAAACATAGAAAACGAGAGCAGATGAAGATGTGCCCTTCGGGTGAACCTCCTGCTCCTGATCAGAAAGTATTGGACAATACAAATTGGTACCCTTGCATCGTTTGTGGCTGTTATCTTAACTCCAAGGAGCAGTTGGAGAGTCATGAACAGAGCGTGAGTCACAAAGTCGCTACAGAGGGATTAAACTCTCTTGGATTTCAGGAGACTTTAGTCATGGCCACTGGTGGAAGTAGTGTAGAAAGGATTGTCAGGGTCAACAAAGGAGGTTTTGATTCTGGTGATCAGCAGACTGTTGATAGTTCAAAGTCATCTTCAAGGCAAGAGTTCAATCCTGAAAGTGGAACTCCATCAAAAGATAGTGTAAAATTTGAACCCATATCCTTGGACCAGCATGGAAGTTTAGACCCTGCATCTCTGCGTCAGTCATATGCTACTAGTGGTGGTACTGGGCCTGAGGAAACGCTACTTAAGTCTGTTTATCACTTTCAACATTCAGATGAATTCAACACTCTTCCTTCAAATCTGAATGCAAATAATTACAATTCAGGAAGTCTTAAGGAAAAAGAAGTTAATAAACAAAGTTTTTTATCTCAAATAAGTATGAGTGGTAATAGTAGTTCTGCAGGGTCATTCAGGTCATCTCGGTCAAGGTCACCAGACTCACATTCAAGGTCACCAAGTGTTGGTATCGAATCACATGCCGGATTTGATAAAAATAGTAGCTTGAAGTCACATGGCAAGCTCTCGTCCAATCATAGTGGCCACTCGTCCAATCAGTCTTCTCTGGAAAGTGGTCCTCAGTCCAGTGGCAGTGAGAACAGGATGCCATCCCTGGAACCAATAGATATGAATGATGACATACCAGACCTTGTGTCCATTTGTACTAGCATGTCAGAACTGAAGATTAAAAAGGATAGAAACAACGCTGAGAAAAAAGAAGTCAAAGTGAAGGACTTCACTAGGAAGAAAGAACGCAAGGAAAGACAAACGGTCGAGGTCACAACTTTAGATCACATACCTGTACCATGTAATGTCGTTGATGTGTCAGAAATAGGGGCGCTTGGCTCAGGAGAAAGTACACCAGGACACCGAACCCGCAGAGGTGAGGGAACAGACACGGCCAGGGCTTTGAGAAACAGAACTTCTCGTCGAAAAACCAGTGAGGAACTGGACAGAAGTGTCTCTCAAGAATCTGAATCAAATGATGACCCAGATAAAGATACTGACAGCAGCATGGCACGACAGTCAGTTGGACATGAAAGGAGTCATACCCAGTTAATGTCCCTCATCAGCCAGAAACTAAAAGATATTCCTCAGAAACCAGCAATAGGTACTCTTGCTGAAACAGAAAACTCAGTTCGCAAAAACTACAAACATTATTGCCCTACCTGTAAGGTCCCTATGGATACTGAGAAAGCCCTGCAAGACCACTTGAAGGGCAAGCTTCACCGAATGAAATCAGCCAAGGAACCAGCCTGTTCTCGCCAACTACCACCTCTGACTAAAACAATAAGCGCACCTTTT